AGGCAAAGAAACACACAGACACAATTAATCCTCGATTCCCCAGAGAATATGGGAAGATATGGGGCAGTGGGGGGGGAGACAGAAACCCAGAACATGTGGGAAAGTATGGGGAATCTTTTTACTTGTGTGTACTTATTTGTGTGTCCTGGGGCCCCTTCAAAGAAGTGCTCGCTTTATACGAGCTGGTCCTCTGGACCACCTGTGTCGTACGCCCAGAGGGCAGTCGGAATTCTAAAGTTCGGGTTTGTAGATCCACGAGAATTCACGTGCGGGAGCGCGACGTCGAACACATACCGCCCCCTGTGGTGTCACGTCTATGATCGTGAAGCTTGAGAATTTCCCCTGCGGTAGGATGCTGCTTTTCAATTTTGGCTCTCGTCTTAACGCCGCGCACTGTTGCCATACACGCCGGTCGTTGAACGTTGGCATTTTTGGATTCCCAGATCCCAATCTACTTCAAGCGCCTTCCTACTCCAAGAATCGACACGCTTTTGCTGTGTTCTGCTATTCTCTCTAGGGGCCTGGACCCAATCAACGCAGCCCGCCTTCCTACTTCATGTTTTTACCTACTGCTTCCGACCCACGTGTACGAGGATGGAAGACCGACGAAGCTCGCCTCAGTTCTACACTGGAGCTCGCCCTCGAGTCCCGCAACTGGTAGTCTCATACGTGCAGGTCTGGGCACTGGGTTCGCTCGTGAGCAGTAAGCGCGCCGGCCGAGCACGGCGCCTTTTCAAGCCAAGGCTCTCGCCGGACAGCTCTTCGAGCTGTATGGCCCCACTTGTACGAATTTCCAGCTCGAGGGAGACACGTCAGCTGCCCTTTGAGGCGAGACTCCCGCTGGAGTGGCGGGCCCGTGAGGCGCTCGGCTTCGAAGGGAGCGTCTCCCGCAGTGGAGAGGGACGTCTTTAGGGGACCTGCGAGGAGGGGGCCTGGGACGGGGGAGCGTGTCGCAGCATCGCTGATGCGTCGAGGGCTCGCTGCTCTGCCTCCGCCTCCGCCTGCCCCTCTCCGCCACGCCTCTCTCCTCTTCCCCCCGTGGCTCGGTCGCCGGGGGGTGGGCCGCGCCGGGCCTCGGGACGGTGCCGCCGCACTGGGGACGAGGAGGACGAGGAGGACGAGGAGGACGAGGAGGACGAGGGGGGCGAGGGGGGCGAGGAGGGCGAGGAGGGCGAGGAGCACGAGGGGGGCGAGGAGGGCGAGGAGGGCGAGGAGGGCGAGGAGGGCGAGGAGCACGAGGGGGGCGAGGAGGGCGAGTAGGGCGAGGAGGGCGAGGGGGGCGAGCCTCCCCCGCGCACGGCAGCGGCGCGAGCGCAGAGGGGCCAAGAGGTCCCCCGCGCCAGGCCGCCCGGGGCCCAGCCATGCGAGGCCCCCCAGGGGCCCTGCCAGCAGCCCAAGGCGTGCCATGCTCCCACTGGGGGAGAAGGCGATCGCAGACATGGATCGTCAAGGCCAACGCCAGGGGGGGGGGTGATACAGTGGGGGCGGCCCATGCCAAGAGGCACCCCGCTTGCCTCCCGGGTGCCCCGGCTTTCCTGGGTGTCGACGGTTTTGCGATGGAGAGCGCGACGCTTCCACACCGAGATATCGATGGACGTCCTGGGGTCTCAGGGTTGGGCTTCTTGCGGCAGGTCCCGTGTGGAAGGGTTCTAGGGGAGGGCGAGGAGGAGGAGGAGGAGGAGGACGAGGAGGAGGAGGAGGAGGAGGAGGAGAGGAGGAGGGAGGAGGAGGAGGAGGAGGGTTGGGTTTCTTGTGGCAGATCTCTTGTGGTCGAGCCCCTCTTGTGTGCACAAGGGGGGGGAAGCATCGACCCGCTGTCGCCCACGGACCGCCGACAGTGGGGCCCGATGGCCCCCACCTGCCCAGTGAGGTGCGGACTCCACTGTCGAAGGCATATCTCCTCCTCCTCCTCCCCTCCTCCTCCTCCTCCTCCTCCTCCTCCTCCTCCTCCTCCCCCCTCCCTCCTCCTCCTCCTCCTCCTCCTCCTCCTCCTCCTCTCCTCCTCCTCCTCCTCCTCCTCCTCCTCCTCCTCCTCCTCCTCCTCCTCCTCCTCCTCTCGGGTCGGGCGAAAGGGGGGGATTGGGAAAGGGGGGGCTACGAAATCTGCTGCATGCAGCTGGTTTCGGCCCCACCGAGGGGCCCCTTCCTCGGTACGTAGCCGCCTCCGGCGCCGGGTGGCGCCGGGAAAATCAGCCACGCGAGCTGATTCTCAAACCCCCCCTTTGCTATCCCCCCCTTTCGCCCGGCCCGAATGTCGCCGAGGAAGCGAAGGAGGAGGATGGAGGACAGTGAGCGGCATACAGTCGGGCCGAGGTGCAAGGTCGAGGTCGGTTCGGGGAGGGTGCCCTCGTGTTCTTCGTGTTTTTTTGGACGTTCTTGTGCCTCTTGTGGGCGGTGCCCTTGGATGCTCTGTCCGTCTTGGTCGACGGAGGGTCCCGTGTTCTTGAGGGGTGTTCTTCTGGCCGAGGTCCGAATTTACGTAGCAGGGGCAAAGGTAGGGGGGGATAGGCATAGGGGGGGGGGATGCTCGACCCCCAATCGCCCATGGATCGCGGATAGGGGCCCGATGGCCCCAGCCTGCCCAGGAAGGCGTGGCCTCACTATCGGAGGCCAATCGCCGATCAGTCGGCGACGTTTCGCCGATTCCTGGTCGATGCATCCCCCCCCTGTGCCAGTCCCCCCCTGTCGTTGCCCCTCAGATGAAGGGGGCGTGGATCAGCGACGGGCCCCGTCTCCGTGGGACATCGCGGATTTCGTCCGCCGGGCGGGGCGGTACTGGCCGCATTTTGGCGGGGACACCTCCCACCCGATCCGTGGATTAGTTGGCGGCCGAACGCCAAATCCATGGATCCGGGATTTTCCTTCCCCCTGTGGAGGAAAAGGAGGAGGCGGAGGAGGAGGAGGAGGAGGCGGAGGAGGAATGTTCGGGAATGTTCGCTTAGAGGACGACGAAAGTCCCTGCTCATTTTGCTATTCTGCAAACTGCAGCCTCTCGAACCGCCTTCGGGGGCCCCGAGGGGTGAGGGTACTTACCCGCATGAATTCGCGCTAAATTCTGTCTCCCTTTGGGCGTGGGGGTACATTCCTTTACCAACTGACGGGGGTCGGTGGTGCAACTACAACCGCATTTGCTACAAAACGTGAGGCAGTATTTACTCCGACACTGCAACGTGTGCGACGGATGGAGGTCCTTGCCGCCCACTCTTTGGGGTCCACGCAGCGGCTCGAACTCCCGAAACTGCTCGCTCGGACACGGGGTCGCACACGCCTGGAAAACCGAATCAAGATTCGAGGACTGAGGAGGAGGAGGAGGAGGAGGAGGAGAAGCCTTCCCCCCTCCCCCAACCCCATGGATTTGGCGACCGCGCGCCCCCGACATCCTCCCACCGGGAGAGATGGGCAAGACGTGGCCTTCGCAAGGGAGGCGCTTCCCCTGCCCCGCAGCTCCTCGACTCACGAAGGCCCTCCTGCGTTGCCCTCCCTTTCCTCCCTCTCCTCGTCCTCCTCCTCCTCCTTGAACTCCTCCTCTTCGTTCTCCTTTCTCCTCTTCCTCCTCCTCAACATCTGCTCCTCCTCCTCCTCCTCCTCCTCCTCCTCCTCCTCCTCCGCATCATCATCATTCTCATCATCATCATCATCCTCCTCATCATCATCATCACCATCATCATCATCATCATCATCAGCATCATCATCAGCATCATCATCATCATCATAATCATCATCATAATCATCATCCTCCTCCTCATCATCATCATCACCATCTTCATCATCAGCATCAGCACCAGCATCAGCATCAGCATCAACATCATCACCATCAGCATCATTACCATCATCATCATCATCATCATCACCATCATCATCATCATCGTCATCATCATCATCATCATCATCATCATCATCATCATCATCATCATCATCATCATCATCATCATCATCATCATCATCGTCATCATCATCATCATCATCATCAGCATCATCATGATCATGAGCCTCATCATCATCACCGCCATCATCGGCAAACCATCATCAGCAACAACCGACATCAGCGCCCACACGGGCGTGCACCTCAGCCTGGTCGAATTCCAGGCCAGGGTCAACGCGGGCCAATGACTGGACAAGGAGCGGACTCTGGAGGAGTCCGAGGAGCAGATGTGTTTCAGGCTCATCAGCTGGAACGCTCAGGGCATTGCGAAGCACAACGCGGAGTACTTTGCAGTGACGCTGCGCGAGCAGCACGACTACGACGTGGCCATCCTCCAGGAGGTCGGCTACTGGGACAAGACCGCGAGATTAGAGGTCGGCGAGGGCGACCTCTACCTGGTCACACCGCGGGTCGAGGGGCAAAAGCAGATGGGGTTGCTGGTGCGCTCTCGGGCTCGACTTTTTCTACGAGGAGATTTGGTGCCGAGGGGGCGCTCGGCGGCACACCTATTTCGCATCCGCAAGAAGGACTCTTGGATCGTATGCAGCCACCTTTTTTTCCAGGGCACTCTCTCACTCAGTACGAGGACTCTATGGAGGAGCTCTCCGACCTGATCATGATGGCACCGCCTGGGGCGTGCCCGATCGTGGGCGTGGACGCGCAGACGGCCTTGCCCCCGCCGCAGGCGGACGAGGAGCGCTGGATTGGGGACTTCCCACTCGGCCAACGCACACGTCGCGCCGACATTTTGACGAGACTTCTCATGCAGCACGACCTGGCGGCGACGAGCACGTTCACCGCGGCGGCCAGCGGACTTACCTGCCACTGCGATTTCAGGCGCCCGCCAGCCCAGATCGACTAAGTACTGGAAGGTCAGCACCACGCTCGAGGAGATCGCCGACAGTGCACAATCCGACCGCTCGGCCATCAAGCTGGAGTTCGCCCTCGGCACCAGGGGCCCCTACATCTGAAGAGGAGGTCGTGCGCCTATGCAGGGCTGGACCTGCCTCGACATCCGCTTCCAGCCCTGGAGCCGCGCGCCTGCTGCGCCGACCGCGACCCAGCGCCGTTCGCTTCCATGACGGATGCGGTGTGCCTGGCTGCCGCTGCCTGTGGCAGGGGCCCGCCTGCGAGGAAGGTTCCCGAGCTCCCCGAGGGCCGCGAGCTCGTGCAGACGCTGCGGGCGTTAGCGGCGCGTCGGCGGGTCACCCGCGACGGCGTGGAGCGCGCGATCTACAACAAGGATATCGTCAGGAATCTCAGGGAGATCTCGACCGCGAACAGGGCCCTGCAGCGCTGCCTACACGAGGCGGGCAATCCCAGGGTACGAGCGCCTCGCCGAGCCCAGCCTGTCCCGATCCACAACCAGCTGATGAACGCGGAGGGGGAAATCGAGGACGACCCGCTGAGGATCAAGGAGCTCCTGGAGCGCGAGTACGGCAACACCTTCAGGGCCAGCGACGGGGAGGAGCCCGTCGGGATCTCTGCCTACCTCACCCACTTCACGACGGAGGATTTCTCGGTATCCCGCCCTTCTCGCCCGAGATGCCCCGCGAGGCACTGTGCGACATGAAGGCCATGAAGGCTCCAGGTATGGGCGGGGTGGTCGCCGAGGTCCTGCAGGCCCTCGACTCGGGCTTCCTCGCCTCGCTCGCGGCCGTCTTCGAGAACCGCTTCCGCGGGGTACCCGAGTATGCCAGGGACCAAGCCTGGCCGAAACACATCATCCAGCTCATGAAGAAGAAGGGGGACAAGCACGCGCTCAAGGGGTACAGAGCGATCACGCTCCTGACTACTCTCGAGAAGCTATAGTCGGTTAGCCTGATCAAGAAATGTGCCAAGAAGTTGACCCTGCGGAGCCCGCAGTACGCCTGCCGGATCTTCAGCATGCGCATGCTGACGGAGAAGGCCCGCGAGTGGAACAGCCCCATCTTCATCGTGGGCGGCGATATAGAGGCCGCCTTCGACCGCGTCTCGCACCGCTCGGTCGAGGAGACGCTGAGAAGAGAGGCTGTGCCAAGGCCCGTGATCCTTGCCATCGCCCTCGGACTCGCGGTATTCGACAGGGAGACCCAGCCAGCGCGATCCTCTTCAATCTAGTGCTAGAGGATGCGTTGGAGGAGTTCCCGGGCGAATGCTGGGCGCGCGGCCGGGGCTGCGAGTTCCCAGGCGAGGCAACGCTGTGCGAGGCGAGACTCCTCTACGCCGGCAACTTCTGGCTGCTTGCGGGCGCGGCCGAGTCGCTGCGCCAGATGACGATGGCCTGGCGGCGTATCCTGCGAGCACGCGGCTGGTGCGTGCCTCCCTCGGGTCTGCCTTGGGGCGCGACGGCGCTGGGCCACGAGTTCCGCGACTGCCGGATGAGGGTCGAGGGTGGCGTCCTGGAGCGCACGCCTCGCGCCGATGGTCTTCCTTGCCTCGGCTTTGTTATCGCCTTCGATGGAAGGTCTTGGAAGGGCGCGCAGCACAGGGTAGCTCGCGCCTGGAGAGCCTTTCTACGCTCTCAAGATGTCTCTACCTGGACGCGCCTGCCGCTGGCAGCAGGCCGCGAAGCAGCTCGAGCGACCCATCAAACCTGTCTTGCTGTATGGGTCGGGATCGTGGTGCCCCGCGGTCAAGTATCTGAATCTAATTCCGAGTCGCGCACCGTAGAATGTTCTCTCAGCTGATTTGCACGCAGAGATGGAGGGAGGAGTCCCCCACGCGACATGGGACATAGACGTGGATCTTCGCAGGCTTACCTGGGCTGGACACCTAGCCCGCCAGGCTGCCCTGCCAGACGCCACATTTGCCCAGCTTGTGCCTGTCCGTCTGCTACAGTGGCGCAGCATGGCCTGGCTCCAGAGTGTGAAACGCGAGCGCGGATCCCAGACGCATGGCCGCATATTCAAGGCTTGGCGATGGGAGATGGACCTCGCCCGACTGCTCGATTCCGATTGGCTCGCGGATGCTGGCCAGTGCGGCAAGGTAGAGTGGCTCGCTCGTGTTCGCCTGATCGCACTCCAGCTGCACTGACCCCAATCTTCCTGTGCCTCACGCGAGGCGCTTTTGCATAATGTTTCTTTCAGCGGCTTGACGTGCTGCCTCAGGCGCAAGGGAGAGCTTGAGGGCAGGGTGTAAAGTGCAAGGTGCAAATCATCGTCATCAATCATCAATCATCATCATCATCATCATCGTCATCATCATCATCATCATCATCATCATCGTCCTTATGGTCCTCATCATCCTTATCCTTCTCCTCCTCCTTTTCCTCCCCCTCCCCCTCCTCCTCCTCCTCCTCCTCCTCCTCCTCCTCCTCCTCCCCCACCTCACCGCAGCTCCTCAAGTCGTGAAGGCCTTTCGAGGCGCCTGCCGCGGCAGACGAGCCGCCCTCCCCGTTCAGGTCCTCCTTCCGGCCGACGTGCGACGATCGTTGCCGTGTTCGTGCAGCGAGTCCGCTTCGCACGTCCACGGCCCCACGCAGCATGCGCCACGCAGCTCCAGCACCCACTGGAAGCACATGTCGCACTCCGCGAGGTGGATAAGGAGGAGGGGGAGGAGGAGGAGGAGGAGGAGGAGGAGGAGGAGGAGGAGGAGGAGGAGGAGGAGGAGGAGGAGGAGGAGGAGGGCAAAGTAGCGGAGGAGAAAGGTAGCGGCGGAGGAGGAGGAGGAGGAGGAGGAGGAGGAGGAGGAGGAGGAGGAGGAGGAGGAGGAGGAGGAGGAGGAAGGGATAAAGAGGCAGATGCTGCGGAGGAGAAAGGAGAACGAAGAGGGGGAATTTGAGGAGGAGGTGGAGGAAGAGGAGGAGAAGGGCAAAGTAGGAAGATGAGGAGGAGGAGGAACACCATGATGAGGAGGAAGAGGCCTGGGAGTAGCAGGACGGGGAATGGTGAAGGTTGATGGCGTTGAGGAGCAGGACGCCTCTTTCTCAACTTTCTCCTCAGCCCCTCCCACTTGTCCTTCTCCTCCTCTCCTCCTCCTTCCCCTCCTCCTCCTCCTTCTTCCCCTGCTTCCATTCGAATTCACGGCCCGAGAGCATTGTGCCCTCGGCCAGCCCTCGCCTCCACGTGGCACTTGAGGGACACCGAGCGGTGCAGGATCGCACACTTAGATCGCGCATCCCTTGGTTGTCTAAGAAAGGCATTATTTTCTTGCTGTACATCTCGTCATGTCTGGTTTCGCGGCTCACTTGTGGAGCCGGTGCCGAAGCTGTGGGCAGCGCGAGTGGGACGATGTTTCAGAGAGCAACAGCAGGCAGTGCCCCAAATGTTCCAAGCCCCCTGCGGTTGCACAGGCGAAGGTCGCATTCTTCCAAGATGAAGAGCGTCAGCTTCTCCAGGGAGAATAACGATGCTACGAAAACCGACGGTACAAACCCAAGGCCATCGTGAAGAGCATGATTAATATGCCGACAGTCTCCCTGAGCGCGGTTGAGCACCCCACAAGAGATATCAGGGTGACCAGCGACCTCGTCATCAAGGCTGCCCTCCAGGCAAGGTTGATCAAGCTGGCGGGTCAGAGCGGGGCGGCTAATTCGCAGATGTCAGCAGCGGAGGCGGTGCGCAAGACGGGTGCGGCCTGGCGCGACGCCGACACCAAACACACGCAGGGGGTCAACGCCGTCATTCGCCTCCGCAACGCTCTGCAGATCGCGGAGAGCAAAAGGATGAATGCGTCAGTGACCTTCGCGCTGGCAGCGTTGGCAAGCATCGGTCCCCGAAGCGTCTGGCGCAGGCGGGGGGCGTCGTTGGGTCCAGCCGCCTTTTCAATTTGCCGTGGGACGATAGTATCTTTGCAGACACAGGCGCTAGAACCCGTCGAGCGCCAGAGTGTGAGTGAGCTGGAGCAGCATTGAAAGGCTACGGATAATTTCGCCACGCGCGAGGAGGAGACCAAGGGCTGGCCTTCGAAGGCTGCTGAAGTTTGTCGTCCCGTCGAGGAGCGCAATAACAAAAAACGCAAGAAGGAATGCGAAGATGCTGCTGGTCAGGGCGAGGGTCAGCCCACGACGCCAACGAGGGGGGCGGACTCCAACGGTGGCCCGGAGGCAGGCGCAGCTGCGGCCTGTACCGCAACGCCGTCAGCCTCCCCCCCCGGATGGCCCCATCAAGCAGGCCGAGCGTGCCGCTGCCGTCCAGGGGGGGGCGGGTAAACTGTCGGCAGCCAAGTTCGCGGCGGCGATGGCCCGCGACGCCCAGCAGAGCACCTTCAATTGCAAGGGCACATCTCTTGTCGAGGCCGCCAAGGCCAGCGGCAAGGGCTATGCTGGTGTCCCAGCTTCGGTCAATCCATGATATATGGCGTCGGCTCCCTCGGCTCCGGTTGGGTGGCGGAGGGAGTCTGTGGATCCAACTTCGCAGCATCCAGCATCATCTTCTTGTTCTTTCAGCCCGAGCTGCTCGGCGGGCAGCAGCACTTCTGGCGGGTGCAGCCTCACTACTTACGCCGACTGTTGCTTTACAGGGTGACGGCAGCCAGTTCGACCTGAGCTCCTCGGGGCCTTCGTCATGTTCGGCTGGGCCGAGTCAGTTAACGGTCCTTACTGCCAGCTCCGACAGCCAAACCAACACCCCATTATTGTTCGGTAGCGTGACCTGCATGAGTGACAGGAGCTGGAAGTTTTGTTTCACAGAAGAATCGTTTTTCTTCGCTCTGCACACTTGGAGAGACACTTGCCACTCGTTCTAGTTACGGCGTTGGGGCCGGCGGGCCAGATGCGCTGGAATGCGACCTTTCGCTAGCGCAGGCCGTGGAGATCATCGGTTCCGCGCCGTTGCGTCCGGCCAGGTCAAGCGTGCCAGTGAAGGAGGCGAACGCGTACTCAGTCGCGCTCATCTCCAGGCTCGCAGCTTCATCGGCCTGGCGTTGCGGCCCCCGTTGCGCCTCGGGCTTTGCGTGTTTCTCTTCCTTCCCTGCCCCTTTTCGCGCCGAGAACTCCGCGGTTTGCCGGGTCGACCCCGCGGGGCGCCAGCTATCAGTGGGCTGCGTGCGTCTTGGGCTGGTACTTTGATGCCTATATCTCAGGGCGCCGCAATGGGGGGCGTAGCAGGGGACATTTCTCGATTTACGAGCTGCTGCTCCTGAGCTTGTTGCTCGCAAGTTTAGGGCTCGCCAGCTGTGTCGCGGGGGCGCGCTGAGGGATTCGAATGCTACCTGGTGGTCCAGACTGCGGAGTGTCCTGGCCATCCTTGCGAAGCATCGCGCCGGGCGTGACAGGCTGTCTCCGCGGCGTCAGTTGGAAGAAGCATGCTTCGGCCTAGTTGAGAGTCGACCAGGGCAGGTTCGCGCCGTCGTGCTTGCAGGGCTTGTGATCAGTTGGTTGGGGTGGCTCCGTGCTCTCCTTGCCGTTGGTGAAATGCCTCGGCATGCTGGCCCATCGGCGCGATTGGCCAAGCGCCGTCAAAGACAAGCGACAGCTTTGTCGCCCAAGGAGTTTCTAGAGTGGGCGTCTACTGCGGAGGCGCTGGGAGCATTGCGTCGTTCGACTCGGCGGGGCCATCTCCTTCCTCTCGAGCTCGTCGACAACGGGGTGATCCTGCGCCGCCCCGAGGACATGATCGATGTCAAGTCTCGTCGGTGGAGGGCCCTGTGGGCCCCTGGTCCCCGGGGTCCTGACGCTGCCCGCGGCGCGGTTCTGGGCGCCCTTTGCGGGGCCGTTCGTGGCGCTCCTGGCCCTTCCCCCCCCCTCGCCTGTTATGGTCTGCGGTTTGCTGTTCGGGGAATGAAAAGACAGCTGGTCTGGGAGCGGACCGCGTCGCGCTCCTGGGGGCGTCGAGCGGTTGCCCGATGTAGGCCTGCAGGCCCCGGTCGACATCCTCAGCTGCGCCCCCCCCCCCCCCGCGTGGCCCGCCCGGGCCCGCCTAGACGCCGGGGAGCTCCTCCCCGAGAAGGCCTCGGGAGATCGGATCGTCGGGCCCATCTCGATCTCGGGCAGAGTCTGGGGCAAGGCTAGGGGGCCCGGGGTGCAGCGCTGGGTCGCCGCCGACGCTCTATCGGTCCAGAAAAAGGCCTCGATCTGATTCGCGGCCCTTGGACACGCGTGCTGGCGGAGTTCGCGACGTGGCGCTGTCGGCGAGAATTCGTAGGCCATTGCAGCCCGCGCGAGTTTAAGTCAAAACACCGCGTCGTACAGTTGCTCGAGATCAACCAGACAGCGCACGCGGAACCTCGAGCATGGCGGCCGTATCTTCGCCCGACGATCGCCAGAAGGCCTCCAGCATGGATGAGTAGACTGCAACAGCGGCGTCCTAGGCATATTGACGTCGCTGGGTCCAGTATCCAAGGGCTGCGAGGTGGCGCCATCTATGCACGTGCCATCGCGTACTTCGTAAAGCAGAGACTTGGCATGTCCACCCTCCGCCTCAGCCATCGTCTGTGGATGATGATCTGTCTCCATTAGTTATCGGATCGCACCGTCAGCTACGACTGACTCTGGTGAAAAGTTCGTCGGAGACGGCGCGGGGCCTGGAGTCGCAGGGTTTGCGGATCGCCGGCAAGTCAGTCACCATTTGTACTCGCCATCCCAATGCGATCGCGATTGTGGAGGCTCTCAAGAAGCGTGGGTTTTAGCGTCGCGGCAGACTGGCAGCGCAGTTATTTAGGGGCTGATCTAGCAGGCCGTTGCCGTCGCGTGAGATCTCAGCGAGTCAGGCGAGAAACCGGACATGTCGAACGTCATCGGAAGGTGCGTCGTTATGCCGGCGCATTGCGCGACGGCCAAGGTGTCCTCGCGCCCCGGGGCTCAGGGTGGCCGGTCCGCGGGTAGTTGCGGCTTTCAGTTGCGCGGTGGTTTTGCACCGCATCCTGCCCATCATCGTCGCGAACTCGGCGCTGCATCTCAGGTTCGTGCCAGGGTGGCGCGCGGTAGCTCCACTCTGTGGCTTCAGCAGTGGCGGCGTCATCCTGGGATCAGGCCGGCAGCGCGGCAAGCTTGGCCGGGGGCGCGCGCGAACCTGGGGGCCGTGGGGCCAGCGAGGCGCCGTCGTCATGGTCGAGGGCCTATGTCAGCGTGCGTGCCTATTCGTTTTTTTGGGTACCCAAGAGGCCCGCGGGCTGAGAGCAACCGCCTGCTGATCATAATTGGTCATTCCCAGACGAAGGCTTCGCTCGGCGCGCATGTTTGGGTGTCCCTGATGATTTCTTAGATGATGTAGATTGGGCGTCGGTGGCTAAGTATTGAGTGAAAGCTGCTAAACGCTTTGACCAGCAAGGGGTGCAACAGGGCGCCGAGGCCTATTCTTCTTCGCGACTGCTGGACCAGCTGCATGCGGTCAAATCTGGATCCCTCCGCTTAGCTGGCATTCTTTTCAATATCGCAGTCGGTGGAGCATGGGCCCGTAAACGTGAGTTTTCTTTGGCGAAGCGGCGTGGCCTGGACGGCGCCAGTCTACTAAGAGCGACCCAGTGCTGTTGGTGCCGAGAGTATTCCGAGGTTTCTCTCCATCGTTGCTGGACTTGTTCATGCGACCTAGGATTAGGATCCTATGTCTTCGAGGCGAGCAGCACTTTTTCCCAACAAAAGTTCGAACGTCTGCGGCATCGAAGATTTACCTCCATTGAATATATTCGTACCTGGGCCCCCCCAGTTGTTGACGATGGGAGTGCTTTGGTATCGATGCGTTGGCGCCTGCTTCTCTAGCTGTCGGGGCGAAAGCCGAGCCGACGATCATGTAGACTTCGGAGAGTGGCTTTCGGTGTGGCATCCTTGTCGAGTTTCGACCCACGTAATGTGGGTACTTCTATCACTGGACCGCTGACTACACTGCGACAGGATGTGCCGCGACGTGAGTGGAAGGCTCTTTGGCTGGCCAGTCGCTGCAGTATTGGACATTTTGTACGCGATTAACCAGGATTGCGAGCTCAGGAGTATTTTGATCCCAGAGGTCGATACGCAGTCGATTCAGATTCGGATGAGCACTAGCTAGGCCCCGCGAGGAAGTTCGAGTTCCATTTGTGCACTTCCGATTGGGAGGAGAGGAGACTATCGAAGTTTGGGCTCAGAGGTGGCACGTTGTCGGCCGTGCCATCATTGACGGATTCGTAAGTGCCGAAGCCCCCTGGCGATCCGCGTGGACCCGATCGAGCGCCACGGCCTGCTGGAGGTGGAGCGGAAGGCTCTTCGGTCAGGCACCGCCTCGTGCCCGCTGCAACGCTCAGCATGACGGCGGACGCGAACGACAGGGACAGGCCCCAGGAGGATGAGGGTTTGCCGTCTCCCCCCCCTCCGTCCCCCCGCCTACCGTGCCTAGTGTCGTTTCTGTTTTCGAAACCGCGCACTTGTTGGAAGACGGTGGAAGGAAATGCAAACGATGTTTAGGGCCTGCTTCCGGCTGCGGTCGGCTTGGATCCTGGAGCAAGACTGCGTGTTTTGTGCCAGTGAATGCCAGGCGCGTGTAAATGGGGGCCGGGTTCATGAAACTGATCCGCCTAGGTCTGTGGCCAACGCCTGTATCCATTGCCGAGCAGGCGAAACGCTCGGGAATTCATCATCATTCAACCCTTCGGTTCAACATATTCGGCTCAATTTTCTTCATTATCATTCTCATTCTCCTCCCCCTCCCCCCTCTCTCTCGCACTCTCTCTCTCTCTCTCTCTCTTTCATTCCTCTCGCAGGCCCCTTCCTCCTCCTCCTGCTCCTCCTCTTCTTCGTGTCTCTCCGTCCCTCTCAGGATGGAACCGCCATCCTACCATGGACGTCTTCCCGACGATGCATGCCACACCAGCTTGGCAGAGGGACACCAAGGTGTCGGACAGGATTTGTAACGGGCGAAAATGGTCGGGGAGTGGAAGGGGGGACCAGGGGGAATGGTATGTTGGGAGGAGTGGGAGGAGTGATGATGCTGCTTCTGACGACGATGCTGCTGCTGGTGCGCTTGTTGTTGCTGATTGTTTTCCCGATGATGACGGTGATGATGATGAGGCTCATGATGGTGATGCTGTGGATGATGCTGATGCTGATGATGATGATGATGATGATGATGATGATGATGATGTTGATGATGTTGATGTTGATGTTGATCGTGATGTTTGTGATGATTATGCTGGTTGTCGCGATGGTGCTGATGACGATGATGATGAGGATGATGTTGATGATGATGATGATGGTATTGATGATGGTGGTGATGATGATGATGCTGACGATGATGCTGCTTATGCTGATGCGGATGCTGATGCGGACGCCGATGCCAATACTGATGACGATGGCGATGACGATGTGGCTTGAGGTGATGACTATGTTGATCACACTCATGATGATGCGGATACTGATGTTGATGATGCTGATGATGATGCTGTTGGTGCTGTTGATGATGATGTTAATGCTGCTCATGAGTATTCAGATTGATCATAGTTTTGTGCGGGTGATTGTGATGGTGATGGTGAAGATGACGGCGATGTTGACGATGATCATGGTGACGATGCCCATGAGGAAGACGGGGATGGGGAGGGGACGTGAGGTGGCACGAGGAGAGATGAGGAACAGGGATGTCATGAGGATGAGGGGGATTGATTACCCCCTGGATGTACTAACGATGCTGCAATAAACCCTCCCGTCTCTTGCCCACTCCCCACAATTCCTTGTACTTGGCATTGCTTGGACGTGTGCAGGTTTTCATGGCGAAGGCCAGCGATATGCATACTGGATCACCTTACGAAGCATAAGCGCACGAGATCGAAACATGCACGGGGAATGGACGTCCGAGTGATGGCAAGTATAGGCATTGTTTCGTTGCGTGACGCACCCCTTTGAACGATGAGCGCCCCATGGGCCCCCAGTTGAGTCGGGAGTGCCGCTTTGAAACTGGACTGTCCTGCATTTTTCGAGCTGTGAGGAATTTGACAGGGTGGGGCCACGCAGTTCAGTACGTGACCAGCGAGAGGGCCGCTCTGCAAAGGAACCGCTCTGCATCAGCATAAGTGTTGCTGGCATTACGTTTTGAGGACATCTGAGGCGAGAACCCCGTTCCAACAGGGGCTTGTCCCCCATCCTGGCCGCAACGCTTTTGCAGATGTTAGTGCGAGCTCGGGAGCAGCTGCGCTGCGCTCGAGCTCTCGATTGCTCTCAGATGGTCTGCTGCTGATGCTCCTCGTCCTTCTCCCCCCGCCCGTCATCCTGCCCTCCACCGCTCCCTCCTGCTCACCTCTACTGCGAAGGCCTGACGGCCGACGCCGCCGCCCCTGGAGGGGGACGACGACTACGACGGCGACGGCGACGACGACGGGGACGGCGACGGCGACGACGACGACGACACCGACGCTCTGGAGCCGGATGCTTCTGTCAGGGGTGGGTGCCGCCCCCCCGGGGGGAGATCGAACTCCGGGGACCCCCTCCCCCTCCTCCTCCTCCTCCTCCTCCTCCTCCTCCTCCTCCTCCTCCTCTGCACCCCGCCCCGCATCCCGCATCCCGCCCCGCCCAGGGGGGCCACGACCTCGGGGGCCCCCCCAAAACCCCTCGCCCTCCTCCCCCGCCCCCTGCGGCGGCGGAGGGGTCAAAGGGGAGGGGCTTCCCGCCGACTCGACTGCGACGGCGCTCGATTTCCCTCTGGCTGGGACGTTTGGGTGGGGGAGCGGCGACGACAACGACTCAAACGGAAAAGCCCTTCACGCACGCCGTGTGTGTGTGTGTGAGTGTGTGTGTGTAATTATGTGCGTGCGTGCGTGCGTGCGTGCGTGCGTGCGTGCGTGCGCGTGTGTGTATGTACATGTGTGTGTGTGTGTGTGTGTGTGTGTGTATGCGTGCTTGTGTGTGTAGTCGTGCTTGTGTGTGTGTGTGTGAGTGTGTGTGCGTGCTTGTGTGATGGGCCGCCCCGTCAGTTTCAGAGTCCCGTGTTGCGCGCTGGGCAATTCGCCTTTCGGTGTCCCCTTTTTCAGCTCTTCCGCTGGTGCAGCTATTCTGCCTCGCCGCCGACGAAAAAGTGCGTGTGTGAAACAACATTGCCACAGGGATGCGCGTCTGGAGTGCAAGGCGCCCGTGTGGCGCGTGCCCAGAGGGCGCGCGGCGCCGTCCCGCCCAATTTTTTGGCGCGAGGCGCGGTTGAGTCACAGGGCGCAGAGCGCTGGATGTGTTCTTTTGTATGCGGCGCTCATATGCACAGTCGCCTCGCGTGGAGGAAGGGCGGGGCACGCCTCGGGTAATTCTGCCTCTTTTCCCTGTTATGGTTTTCCCGCCGGGCAAGTGCGCGGCGGCTCCGCGGCGTCTGGGCCAACCCCCGCGCGCGAACACGCGTCGCAGCGCTGCGAAGGCGAGGCCCTGGGCGTCGAAAGCGACAGGGCGGCCACCGCGCCTCGGTGGCCTCCAGGGAATCTCTGGGGGCGCTGCAGGATTCGCAGCGGGGACCCGGGAGGAGGGGGGGGAGGGGGAGGAGGAGGAGGAGGAGGAGGAGGAGGAGGAGGAGGAGGAGGAGGAGGAGGGAGGAGGAGGAGGAGGAGGAGGAGGAGGAGGAGGAGGAGGAGGAGGAGGAGGGAGGAGGAGGAGGAGGAGGAGGAGGAGGAGGAGGAGGGAGGAGGAGGAGGAGGAGGAGGAGGAGGAGGAGGAGGAGGAGGAGGAGGAGGAGGAGGAGGAGGAGGAGGAGGAAAGGGAAGAGGAGGAGACGGAGGAGGAGGAGGAGGAGGAGGAGGAGGAGGAGGAGGAGACGGAGTAGACGGAGGAGACGGAGGAGACGGAGGAGGAGGATGAGAGACTGCGACCTAAAACTTGTGACGCTTGCGTTGTTCGAAGCTGAATCAACGGCATAAACATAAACTTTCGGCGCTGCGCGCGGATTTCTTGGATCTGCGCTTGGGCCCTCCCGGCGGCGCCTCTTGCGCCAGCCCTAGCGCGCTCCTCGCGCCAGGGAGGGGGGTCCAGCGCAGATCCGAGCCAAAGGTTTATGTTCATGGCGATTAGTCTTCTTCTTCTTCTTCTTATCCTTCTTCTTCTTCTTCTAAAGAGGATCTCACATCTGCGCGCGGCAGCCTGGCCGGAGCTCAGCTGCAAGACTACTGCGACAGATCGTTGTGGAGAAGCCTCGGCTCATGACATGTGGTTGGCCAGGCATCTTTTTTCAAGATATCGGAATTCACCAATTCTGGAATCTGTGCCAACCCCGTCGGACTGAGCATGCCCACTGTGAAGGGGCACCCTTGGTCCAGGGACGCAAGCCGGCTGCTGCTGCGCCAACAGCGTGCCGATGAATGACAACACGCTGCACCAGCACCTCGTCTGAACGAGTACTCAATGACTTCTCGGTTATGAAGAGAAGCTGTCCCCCGTCCGTCCGTGGGTTGAAGATGTTCAGACGAATGTGCGCTGAGAGAAGATTCAGACGTTCAAGCGATCTGTTCTCCTCCCGTGTCGACCTCGGATTATTCGAAGATGAATGTGGACAGCGCCGAGGCGATAGGCAGATGATGATGGCCACCTGAATGGCATTCGAGCAGATGTTTGGGTTCTGCTCTGATTTCGGTAGTTGTTAGGACGACCCAGCCGAAACGTCCGCACCGCTCTAGCAATGCGTTCTTGCGGGCAAAAGTGAGGACTTATCTGTAATGCTGATACTGATGCTGATGCTGATGATGATGATGATGATACTGATGCTGATGATCATGCTGACGACCTCCATGATGATGCTGATGATGATGGTGACGATGACGATATCGAGGATGCTGAACATGATGGTGATGATGAAGATGATGATGCTGACGATGCTGACGATGATGATGATGATGATTATCATGATGATGATGATGATGATGATGATGATGATGATGATGATGATGATGATGATGATGATGGTGATGATGCTGATGATGATCATGATGACGATCATTATGAGGTTGATGATGATCCTGATGAGGATGCTGCTGCTGATGATGTTGCTCATGACGACAATGCTGACAAGGACGACAAGGATGATGATGATGTTGATGAACGTCATGGAATGATGATGCTGATGCTGCTGCTGATGATGATGATTGTGGGGGTGAGGGTGATGGAAAAGGCTGTTGATGATGCTGATGATGATGGTGATGCTGGCGATGATGCTGATCATGCCGACGATGCTGATGCTGATGATGATGCTGATGATGCTGATGATGCTGATGATGATGGGGATGGCGATGGTGATAATGCTAATGATGCTGCAGCTGCTGATGACGATGCTGCTGACGATGATGCTGGCTATGATGATGCCGCTGACGGTGATGATGCTGCTGCTGCTGATGATGATGAGGTGACTGCTGATCCTGTCAATGGCGATGCTGATGCTGATGATGCTGATGATGCTGATGATGCTGATGATGCTGATGATGATGATGATGAGGATGCTGATGCTGGTGATGATGCTGATGATGCTGATGATGATGACGGCGATGCTGATGATCTTGTTGGCAACGATTCTTATTATTGGTGGCAATGATGATGATAATTATGATGATGATGATGATGATTATGAGGTTGATGATGATGCTGCTGCTGTTGATGATGATTGTGGTGATGATGATGCTGCTGATGATGATGATGTTGTTGCTGTTGATGCTGGTGATGCTGCTGCTGATGATGATGGTGATGATGATGCTGCTGATGATGATGATGATGATGATGATGAAGCTCATCATGATGCTGATGATGCTGATGATGATGATGCGGATGTTGATGCTGATGGTGATGATGCTGATGATGATGATGTTGCTGCTGCTGCTGCTGATGATGATGATGATGCTGGTGCTGATGCTGATGCTGATGATGTTGATGTTGCTGCCGATGATGCTGTTGCTGCTGCTGCTGATGATGATGATGATGATGATGATGGTGATGCTGATGATCATGATGATGATGCTGATGATAAGGACGATGATGATGATGATGATGATGATGATGATGTTGCTGATGCTGATGCTGATGCTGATGCTGATGCTGCTGCTGCTGATGATGATGATGATGACGATGATGATGCTGCTGATGATGATGATGATGATGATGATGATGAGGATGATGCTGATGATGATGATGATGATGATGATGATGATGATGATGATGATGATGATGATGATTGTAATGATAATGATACTGATGCTGATGATGATAAGGAGGAGGAGGAGGAAGCGGAGGAAGAGGAGGATGAGGAGGATATCGAGGATTGACGGAACAGCTCTGGTGCTCATGCTTGCCCAACGTAGGAATGAAGGGGAAGAGGAGGAGGAGGAGGAGGAGGAGGAGGAGGAGGAGGAGACGGATGATGATGAGGAGGAGGAGGAGGAGGAGGAGGAGGGAGGAGGAGGAGGAGGAGGAGGAGGAGCGGCGTGCCCGCGCGGGCAGGAAGACCACCTGGTAAACGAGTCTGGCTTTGCTCTCAGGCCTGGCCGCGGGCGGCGCGATTCTCCTCCTCTTTTGTCCTCCTCCTCCGCTTCCTCCTCGCTCTCTCATTCTTTCTCTCTCTTTCCTCCTCTCTCCCCTTTCCTCCTCCTCCCCTCCTCGTCCTCTTTCTACTCTTCCTCCTTCACCTCCTCCCCCTCCTCCTCCTCGTCCTCCTCCTCCTCCTCCGCTTCCTCCTCTTCCTCCTCCTCCTCCTCCTCCTCCCCTCCTTCATGATGGAAGTTGCTGGGAGTTTGCGCTGGGGGTTGTCCTCCTTCTCTTCCTTTTCGTATTTCTCCTCCTCCTCCCTCCCTCCTTTCCCCCTGCCCCCCCCTCCCTCCTCCTCCTCCTCCTCCTCCTCCTCCTCCTCCTCCTCCTCCTCCTCCTCCTCCTCCTCCTCCTCCTGCTTCTCCTCCCGGCCGGGCAGGAGTTGCGGGGAGTTTGCGGTTGGGAGCGTCCTCTTCCGTCTCCTGTCGCGTTGCACGGGCTACGATCGTAGGAGCTCAGCGTCTGGATAGAGCAAAGACCGACGTGGGCGTAGCCAGCCCAGCACAGTGCACGCTGAGATATACACGCCGCAAGCGAGAATGAGGGCGAAGAGCAGAGGCGAGAGACGATTAGCCCTCGAGGGCATAGAGTAGGCGCGCAGCAAGGCGAGGATAAACACCCCTGACATCGCTCATTCCGCCGGCCCTCGAGCGCTCTATGGGGCCTCTTTGAAGCCTCTTGGGGGCCTCTTTGGGGCCTCCTAGGGGCTTCTTGGGGGCCTCTTGGGGGTCTCTTGGGGCTCCTTGGCGGCGTCTTGGGGCGCCCTTGAGCCTCTTGGGGGGCTCTTGGGGGCCTCTTGGGGCGGGGTAGTCGAGTGCACCCCCCTTTCTAATTCCTCGTTTTGCCGATCAGCGCGGGCCCTCGCCCCCCCCTCCCCTCCCCCATGGAGTAGATTTTGGCTGTTTCTGCCTTCTGTTTCAAGCTGGTTGGGTCGCCCCGATAGGACGCACTGCTGCAAACCATCGCACGGAGCAGAGGTACGGAGCCAGACCCCCCCTCCCCCTCCCCTCCAGTCCGCCCAATGTCGAAACGCCGAGTGAGAAAACGTTCGCATCACGATTGACCGTACACCAGGGCTCGACCTAAACGGTGTTTTGGCGATTTCGTGGGCCGTTTTCGTTTCGACTTCGTTTTGCGTGAAAGGCGGATGGAAGACAAAACGAGGGAAAACGAAAGCAAAACGAACACGAAAAACACCGTTTAGGTTCAGCCCTGCCGTGCACAGGGAGGGCGCCGGACGGGGTGAGGTGAACGAGAGACCGCTTGGTCTGTGGGCAGCAACCAGCATATGGCGCGCGCGCCGAGAAATCCTACCAGTACGTGCTCCGTGGCGGGCGCTCTGTGGTGATGCCGCTCGCCGCATGGTTCAGCGGCACCGTAGCGGGTGCTCACTGACGGGTACAGATGTGCCGGAAGTTGCCACTTTAGAGCCTCTTTCTGGCATCGCAGCGTTGCCCACATCGGGGAGGGTCAACTTCGCCGGGTCACTGGCCAAAGTGCCCGTCAGTGTTATGCTGTTCCAACCTGCTTTAGCCTTGAGCACCGGAAAGAATTTCGGGCCCCCCAAACACAGGAACTTGATGGTTTTCACGTGTCGGGCCCTGGGAGACTCTCGCCCGACACTGTTTCGACACCCTTTTGACACTCTTCCAGGTGCTCGAAATTATTTCTGGGATGTGCCCCTTAAGTAGGATGGGGGCAACAGAACGTCAGTGGAGTCCCCGTTAGAGGGGTGCTGAGTGGTCTCGAGACCACCCGTCCAGGCAGGGCAGCAGAGACTTTGGCGACCTGGGAACACCCGGAAGCCGTGGTGCGATCGCCTCCCTGCTGCAACGGAGGCTGGTGTAGCAAGGCAGTCGTCCAGACAAAGTTGGGTAAATTATGTTCTGGCCTGTGCCTGGGGGTATACATCAGAGGCGGCAGCGTGCAATGGGGATTCCCCGCTGCAATGCCCTGGCGGAGAACCGCGGGTCACGCGGGAGGCCGCCAGGAGGACAGCCACCTCCACGCCCATATGGTTCTTGAAGTCCAACACCTCATCCACCACCACCTCTGCCTGGGGGTATAAAGAACAAGTGTGATAACAAAAACAAGTGTGGCAACACACGACTGCGATACAACAACATTTATGATAAGGCACATCCGTGTTTTATCACAGTATATATACATTTATATACAAAGATATGTGTGTTTATTTATGTCGTATGTGTATCAATTATTACATTTTATATATACATGTGCATATATACGGTTAAAACATCGCAATTGCTTAGCACACTTGTTCGGTCCCCCCTGACTCTGGTGCAAACCCGGAAAAAAGCGCAGCACTTTTGTCAAGACGGGCCTCTCATCGGCCCCGCTTTTGGGGCCACGGGGCAGCCGCTCCGAGCTGGACCTGCGCAGGCCACGCCAGGAGGGGCCCGCGCGCTCTCGATGCCATGCCAACCGGCCTCCCCACGGGTCTCGGGAGGCGCCTTCAGGAGACCCGCGCGGCTTCCAGTGGTCAGCTCCTGCCGCGGTGTCCTCGCCCTTAAAATGCGGCGCGCAGTGCCCGGCGGCGCGACCAGGGGGAAGTGAGAACGAGCGGGCCTCCCGAGGAGGTTCGGAAGTCCCCTTGGCATTCTGAGAAGTGCTCTAAGCCTTCCCCGAGGACACCTATTTTTTCAGAAGGCGCCGTTTCCTGAGAAGTCCCGCGACCTTCTGAGGAGGCCTTCTCCTTTTCATTCCCCCCCCCCCCTCGCTCGCCTCCGAGCTTCGTAATCCTTCCAGGAAGCTGATGGACCTTATCAGGGGTGACGGAGTTTAGGGAGGACGTCACCCTGGTCCTGCTTCAGCCAGGTGTTTTTTTATTCGTTGTTTTGCCGGTCGGCGCGTGCCTCCCCCCCATGGAGAAGATCTTGGCTGTCTTTTTGGCGCCTGTTTCGAGCGGGTGGAATCTCCCCCAGAGGCAGCACCCTTGCAAACAGTAGCACTAAGCAGAGGTCATGAGCCAGACCCCCCCCTTTCCGTCCAATGTCGAAACGCCGTATAAAAACAAACTTATCCCGGCAAAGCAACCTGTAGGAGCATACATGGAAGCATTCCCCTTGAGATTCAGATGAAAATCAAGTTGTAGGATTCTGCTGTTCTCGCAGTCGCAGTCGCATTCGCGATGACAGTCGCAGTGGCAACGGCAGTCGCAGTCACAGCCTCAGCCTCAGCCTGCCTCAGCATTAGCCTGCCTCAGCCTCAGCCTCAGCCTGCCTCAGCCTCAGCCTCAGCCTGCTTGAGCCTCAGCCTCAGTCTGCCTTCAGCCTCGGCCTCAGCCTCAGCCTGCCTCAACCTCAGCCTGCATCAGCCTCAGCCTCAGCCTCAGCCTGCCTCAGCCAGCCTGCCTCAGCTCAGCCTCAGCCTGCCTCAGCCTCAGCCTCAGCCTGCTTCAGCCTCAGCCTCAGCCTCAGCCTCAGCCTCAGCCTCAGCCTCAGCCCTCAGCCTCAGCCTGCCTCAGCCTCAGCCTCAGCCTCAGCCTCAGCCTGCCTCAGCCTCAGCCTCAGCCTGCTTCAGCCTCAGCCTCAGTCTGCCTTCAGCCTCGGCCTCAGCCTCAGCCTGCCTCAGCCTCAGCCTGCATCAGCCTCAGCCTCAGCCTCAGCCTGCCTCAGCATCAGCCTGCCTCAGCCTCAGCCTCAGCCTGCCTCAGCCTCAGCCTCAGCCTGCTTCAGCCTCAGCCTCAGTCTGCCTTCAGCCTCGGCCTCAGCCTCAGCCTGCCTCAGCCTCAGCCTGCATCAGCCTCAGCCTCAGCCTCAGCCTGCCTCAGCATCAGCCTGCCTCAGCCTCAGCCTCAGCCTGCCTCAGCCTCAGCCTCAGCCTGCTTCAGCCTCAGCCTCAGTCTGCCTTCAGCCTCGGCCTCAGCCTCAGTCTGCCAGCTCAGCCTCAGCCTCAGCCTCAGCCTCAGCCTCAGCCTCAGCCTCAGCCTCAGCCTCAGCCTGCCTCAGCCTCAGCCAGCCTGCTTCAGCCTCAGCCTCAGCCTCAGCCTGCCTCAGCCTCAGCCTCAGCCTCAGCTTCAGCCTCAGCCTCAGCCTCAGCCTCCTCAGCCTCAGCCTCAGCCTCAGCCTGCCTCAGCCTCAGCCTCAGCCTCAGCCTCAGCCTCAGCCTCAGCCTCAGCCTCAGCCTCAGCCTCAGCCTCAGCCTCAGCCTGCTTCAGCCTCAGCCTCAGCCTCAGCCTCAGCCTCAGCCTCAGCCTCAGCCTCAGCCTGCCTCAGCTCAGCCCTCAGCCTCAGCCCTCAGCCTCAGCCTCAGCCTGCCTCAGCATCAGCCTGCCTCAGCCTCAGCCTCAGCCTGCCTCAGCCTCAGCCTCAGCCTGCTTCAGCCTCAGCCTCAGTCTCAGCCTTCAGCCTCGGCCTCAGCCTCAGCCTGCCTCTCAGCCTCAGCCTCAGCCTCAGCCTCAGCCTCAGCCTCAGCCTGCCTCAGCCTCAGCCTCAGCCTCAGCCTCAGCCTCAGCCTCAGCCTCAGCCTCAGCCTCAGCCTCAGCCTGCCTCAGCCTCAGCCTCAGCCTCAGCTCAGCCTGCCTCAGCCTCAGCCTCAGCCTCAGCCTGCTTCAGCCTCAGCCTCAGTCTGCCTTCAGCCTCGGGCTCAGCCTCAGCCTGCCTCAGCCTCAGCCTGCATCAGCCTCAGCCTCAGCCTGCCTCAGTTTTCAAAATGTGGCCCGGGAATGGAGTTCTGGGAGCTCGAAGAACACGAAGTGGCCTACAGTTGGCTCCGGGCATTCAAAACCATGCCAAGGAATGGAGTTCTGGGAACTCGAAGAGCACGAAGTGGCCTACAGTTGGCTCCGGGCATTCAAAATCATGCCCAGGCATAGAGTTCTGGGACCTCGAAGACCACGAAGTGGCCTACAGTTGGCTGCGGGCATTCAACATCATGCCGAGGAATGGAGTTCTGGGAATTCGAACACCACGAAGTGGCCTACAGTTGGCTC